AGGTAAATTAAGGATTGATTGATTGGTCTGGGGGGAGGGAGTTCCCTTCTCAAAGCAGCTTCCTCAGGGATCAGAAAAACCCATCAAAAATCGGATTTTCATCATTTAACATCCCCTGACTCCAAGGCAGAGGCGTCAATTGGGGTTTTTCCAGTGAAAGGAGAAGTTGGAAAACTCCAATTGGACAAAAGGAAAAACATCTTCCCCCCGGGGTTGGTCACAAACCTGAGCAAGGACAAGAGGGACACCCAGGAATTCCTGGACCTCAGATCCTGAAGGTTTTTCCCCATTGCTTATAGGATCTCTGACCCATTTACACAAATCTCTGGCGGCTGGAAAACCCCAAAGACCTTTTCACTCGCTCCCACCCCAAAAAATTCCCATCTGGAATGTCCTTACTCGTTCTCCTTTGGCTCCCAGAAGTCCCCGATCACCCTAAAATAAGGAAAAAAAAAAAAGACACATTTCCCAGGCTACTGATTCCCACTAAAACCTATCCCAGCTGGAATTCTGCTCCTCTGGGCCCTGTGGAAAATTATGAACTCCCCAAAATAACTTGGTGGGGAGGCAAAATTTGCTGGATCGACAGGAAAGAAAGATCCGGCGGCTCTTCCCGGAGGATTTGTTTGGAATGTCAGGGAATGTGGGGTGGAGCTCATTCCTGGTGGGATCCCAAAAGCTTTTCCAGCGCTGCAGGTGGTGTGGGAAGAGCGGGAACAAGCAGGGATGTGGAGACAAATGGGAAGCCTTTAAAACTGTGCTTGGAATTCCGGCTGGGAAAGCCAAGTGGATCTCTCTTCCCAGGGAGATCCCTTCGGGAATTCCCGAGGATTCCAGGTGGGATGTGGAAGGAGGAGGCCAAGGGGCCTCCTGGCCAGTGGTTACCAACTAAAAGGTGGGAATTCCCGGTGGGAATTCATCCCTGTAGGAAATCTCCCCACCCGTCTCGGGATCGAGCAGAGAATTCCAGAATCCCTTTCTGCCCAGAATTCCCACCTTTTCCTTTCAAAAAAAGCTGGGAATTTCCCCCTCAGCCAGCCCAGGGAGCTGCCAGTGCTGCTTCCCAGTGACTGATGGGCCCTCCCAGCCCCCCCCTCAGGAGATGCTGGGATTGTTCCCGCTGTTTTTTCGGGAATATCAGCGGGGGAAGGGAGAGGACGGAGCTCACCCGATCTCCCTTCACTCCCGGGAAGCCTTTGGGGCCCTGGAAAAGAGGGAGAAAAAAAAACGGGAGAAGATCAATCCTTGAAGGGGTTCTGGGCCCTAAAAAAGACTTTTTATTTTATCTTTTTTTTTATTTATTTTCTTTTTTTTTTTAATTTCTTAATTTTTTTTGTTTTTTTTATTTTTATTTCTCTTTGTTGTTTCTTCTTTATTTTCTTTAAATTTCATTTTTATTTTTATTTTATTTTAAAAATTTTCACTTATTTATATTTTTTAATTTTTTTTGTCTTTTTTCTTTATAATTTATTTGTTTTTGTTTTTATTTTAGTTATATTTTTTATTTTTTATTTTAATTCCATTTTTCTATTTCCTTTTTTACATTTTTTCATGAATTGTTTTTTATAGGAGTTCCTAAATGTTATTTTTCATTTCATTTTTTAATTTAGTTTTATTTCATTATTTCTTTTATTGCTTTTTCTTTTTTAAATTTTTCTATTTTCTTTTTAATTGATTTTTCTTTTATTTATTTTTCTTTTTCTTTTTTATTTTCCTTCTTGTTTACTTTTATCATTTTAGTTTTAACTTTATTTTAGTTTTAGTTGTATTTTATTTTTTTTACTTTTTCTATTTCCTTTTTTTAATTTTCTTCCTAATTCTAAAAATATTTTAATTTTTAATGCAGTTTTTACATTTTATTTTTCATTTTCTTTTTAGTATGGCTTTTAATTTTATTTTTATTTCTTTATTTCTTTTTTATTTATTTTTATTATTTTCATTTGATTTATTATTTTCTTTTTATTTTCTATTTAATTAGGTTTTATTTCTTTTCTTTATTTTTTTTTTCATTTTTATTTCTTTTATTTCTTAAATTTTCTTTTTCCCTTTTTTCTTTTTCTTTCTTTCACCTTTTAGCTTAGTTTTACTTTTTATTTTCTTTTTTATTCTATTTTAATTTCATTTTTATTTCCTTTACTTATTTCTATTTACTGTTTATATTAATAACAGAAATACTTTAAATTTTATCTTAATAGAAATACTTTTAAATACTATTAAATTATCTAATAAAAATATATTTCATATATAATATTGTATATAATTTATTATATATAATTACATATAATTATTTTATATAATTTATTATATATAATATACTATATTGTATATAATAGTATATAATACAATAATATATTAGCATATATTATTATTTATTTATTTTTAAAATTATAATTTAATAATATTAAAAGTATTTATAATAATACAAATATTGATTAAGTTAATATTTATTATTATTCAATTATAATTAACGAATATTTTAATAAATATAATTAACATTATTATTAATAGAAACAATTACTTATTTCAATTATAAATATAATTAATATAAACACTATTAAATATATCATTATATTTATCATGACATTATCCCTCCCAGCCTGGAATTCCATCCCACCATCCCAGCCAGGAATTCCATCCCACCATCCCACTGGAATCCCAAATCCCCCTTTCCCACTGGAATCATCAGCTCCTTTGGGGGTTTTCCCACATCCCGATATTCCCGAGGCTTGGAAAACTCACCGGCATTCCCACGGCCCCACGGGGTCCCACCAGGCCCTCGGCACCCTGGAGGGATGGAGAGGAATTCAACACCATCCCACTGGGAATAACGGGAATCCCGGGGAATTCCGGATGGTCAGAGGGGCTCTCCGACCTCCTACTCCTCTGTCAGGATGGGGGGACTTAATAATCCATGGATATGGGAATAATTCCCCATGGATCTGGATCCAAGAGCCTCAGAGATCCACAATTCCTGATGGATCTGGATCCAAGAGCCTCAGGGATCCACAATTCCCCATGGATCTGGATCCAAGAGCCTCAGGGATCCACAATTCCCCATGGATCTGGATCCAAGAGCCTCAGGGATCCACAATTCCTGATGGATTTGGATCCAAGAGCCTCAAACATCCACAATTCCCCATGGATCTGGATCCAAGAGCCTCAAACATCCACAATTCCCAATGGATCTGGATCCAAGAGCCTCAGAGGTCCAGAATTCCAAGGATTCGAGGAGAAATTTTGGCCACCAGCAACTTAAACTTCAACACACGCTCCAATCCCGACTCCTCACCCCATCCCACTGGGAATTCCATTGGAATGTTGACTCCAGGGGGTCTCCTTGGGCTCTTTTCCAGGGGAAGACCAGAAACTCCTCCAGGGGCAGGAGGAAAACCAACATTCCCAGACCAAGGAGAGTCTGGGATCAGCCCTTTGGGAATTTTGGGATGTGGGAGCGGGAGGGCACAAAGAAGGGTTTAAATTCCCAAAGCCAAGCCGGGAATATTCCCGGATGGACTTACCCGAGGGCCAGGAATTCCACGGGGACCTCTCGGGCCGGAGGCTCCAACGCCGGTATCTCCCTGTGGAGCAGAGAATTCCACCCCACAGGTCACCCCTGGGAGCAGGGACACCCCAATCCCAGAATTCCCGAGGAGTTTGGGAGTCAAGGAGCCTGAAATCCATGGATTTCCCAACGGGGAAGGAGGGGGTGAAGGTGACCTGGGGGTGGAATGGCTGGATGGGGACAGGGATAAGGAGTGATGGGATGTCTCATTCCAAGGTTTGGCACCCACCTTGTTGCCTTTGGCTCCGGGAACGCCGGGAATTCCCTGTGGGATAAGGACAAGGAAACAGGAGGACTTTCCTGGGGAGTTGTTGCAGTGAATTTACAGAGAAAACCAAAGTTCTCACTGATTGTTTAAGTGCAGATGCTTCCAAAATTGATTTTGGGGAGGTTTTTTTTTTGCTAACTCACCTTCTCCTTCCCAGGATTCCCAGCCCTGATCTCTACTTTTTGGAATATTTGGGAGATCACTCGGAATTTTCTCCTTGGCTTTGTTAACCCCTCCTTGTCACTGGGGTGGGTTTGTGTCATGGGTTTGCTCTGGGTCAATTTTTTTCTCACCTCACCCCCCCCCCCCCCCATTACTGTAAGTTGAGAGAAGGTTTATGCAGACAAAAGAGAGCTGATTGGGGAAAATAATCTTAGGATTTATTACCAGCAAGATAAAAAAACTAAAGAGCTGCAACTGCAACAATTCTAATCAGGTAAAAGTGCGATGTATTTACAGAAATAAATCTGTAAATAATCTGCCCCTCTCCCTTTTGGATCAGTTCAGGAGGAGTAACAGCCTCTCTCTTGCCATTTTTGGAGCTCCAGGTCTTGTAAATAACTTTGCAGCCCTCGAAAGTCCCTGTAAATTGCTGACTGGTGGTTTTGTAANAGAGAGCTGATTGGGGAAAATAATCTTAGGATTTATTACCAGCAAGATAAAAAAACTAAAGAGCTGCAACTGCAACAATTCTAATCAGGTAAAAGTGCGATGTATTTACAGAAATAAATCTGTAAATAATCTGCCCCTCTCCCTTTTGGATCAGTTCAGGAGGAGTAACAGCCTCTCTCTTGCCATTTTTGGAGCTCCAGGTCTTGTAAATAACTTTGCAGCCCTCGAAAGTCCCTGTAAATTGCTGACTGGTGGTTTTGTAATCCCCTCGAAGCCTATAAATGTCCCTACCCAAAACAGTTAAGAGGTGGTGAAAGGAAGGTAAACAGGGAAAGCTCAGACGGGAAGAGCGTGGAATCCCATCTTTTTGCTTATTATTGAGTGTTTTTTCCAAGCCCTCAATCCCTTCCCATCCCAGCCCTCCCAAGGGGATGAAGGGACACCCAAGCAGGACACTGGATGGCCTCAACCTCTCCCCCTCCAGGCACCCACCAGGATGAACATCCCAAAACTCACCTCTTTTCCCGGCGCTCCAGACGCTCCCACGGGCCCCGTGGCTCCGGTCCGGCCTCTCCTGCCACGTTCCCCCTGGAAAATGAGAGCCCTTGGAGAGGAGGGAAAGGTCCTGCTTTATCCCAGGCAGATAAAAAGCAGATCAAAGCGCTCTGGGGGTCCCTCCTCCCTCGAGGAGAGGGAATTCCCCCTAAAACGAGACTCATCCATCGCTCCCTCCGTGAGAGGAGAAACCCCTTGGAGAGGAGAAGACTCCGGTGGGAAAGATCCTGCTTTATCTCAGGCAGATAAAAAGTAGATAAAAAGCAGATCAAAAGCAGATCAAAGTGCTCTGGGGGGTCCCCCCAAGGAGGAGGGTCCCTCGAGGAGAAGGAATTCCAGCTCCTCCAAGAAGGGGAGTCCCTCAGTGAGAGGGAATTTGAGACTCATCCATCGCTCCCTCTGTCCCTGAGGGTTCCTGATCCCAACCCCACGCAATTAATTCCATGTGAAAGATGGTAAATGAATCATTAAATTGAAAAGATTGAAACCCAAGGACTCGGTTGGAGCTCCACTGCTTTTTATCTTGAGAGACATTTTTGGGCCTTTATTTCGGCTTTTATTTCCTTTATTTCATCCAACTGACACGTTTTCCAAGGGTTTGTTCCTGGTTTTCCTCACTTTTTATGGATTCAGGGTCTGGAGAGCTGGATAAGGGAGGGCTCAGCCCGGAGGGGACGATCTCAGCAGGGCCACTGTCACCCCCCTGAGGTGACAAACACAGCCCGCGGTGTCCCCTCACCTTCTGTCCCGGCATTCCAGGCAATCCTGGAGCCCCCCTGTCCCCCTGGGATCCGGGAATTCCGGCGGTGCCACGGATGCCCTGGATGCCCTGAGCTCCTGGATGTCCCGGCGCTCCCGGCTCGCCCTGTGGAGGGAATTCCCGGGGAATTTGGGGATTAGGGGGGGATCAAGTGTCCCTCTAAAGGTGCTAGAGGAGCCTGAGGTGGCTCCGTGAGCTCATGTGACACCAGTTTGGGACAACTCTTCCAGTTCTGGCCCAGAAGGGAAGACCCAAACCCTGCAGACCTTCAGGAGAACCCAACCCTTTCTTTTATCTTCCTTTCTCTCTCTCTTTCTTTTTCTCTCTTTCTTTTTCTCTTTTTCTCTCTTTTTCTCTCTTTTTCTCTATTTCTTTTTTCCTCTTTTTCTCTTTTTTCTCTTTTTCTCTCTTTCTTTTTTCTCTCTTTTTCTCTCTTTTTATCTTTTTATTTCTTTCTTTTTTCCTCTTTTTTCTCTCTTTTTCTCTTTCTTTTTTTCTCTCTTTTTCTCTTTCTTTTTTTCTCTTTCTCTTTTTCTCTCTTTTTTCTCTCTTTTTATCTTTCTTTTTTTCTCTTTCTCTTTTTCTCTCTTTTTTTCTCTCTTTTTCTTTCTCTGTTTCTTTTTTTCTCTTTTTCTCTTTCCTTTTCTTTCTTTCATTTTCTTTCTTTTTCTCTCTTTCTTTCCTTTTCTCTCTCTCTTTTCCTCTTTTCCCTCTTTCCTTTTCTCTATTTCTCTGTTTCTTTTTCTTTCTTTCTTTCCTTTTCTCTCTTTCTCTCTTTCTCCCTCCCTCCCTTCCTTCTTTTTCCAAACCCAAACCCTGCAGACCTTCAGAGGGGAACCCAAACTCTTCAGCATCCCAAGGGATCTCTGGAACTCCTTTCTGCTGAGCCCACAATTCCCTGGATCTTGTTTCCAGCTGAGGATTTTCCTGCTCATTGACAACCTCGAAATGTCCCTCCCAGCCCCAACCATTCCATGATTCCAAGATATTTATCCTCTAGACCTTCACGCTTTGAAGTGGCCCTTTGGAGGATGCAGAGAATTCCCTGTATCCCAACCCCGTGGAATGCTGTTCCCAGCAGTGGAAAACAAAGATTAGAGAGGGACAAATCCCATAGAAAAACCCTCCAAGTGAAATCCCACCTGGAAGAGAAGAACTTCCCACCTTAAATCCAGGTGGTCCAGCCTGACCTACAGGACCTCTGAACCCAATTCCTGGTTCTCCCTGTGGAAAAAAGGGGAGGAAAACCGAAAAAAAAAATTGGAATTAGTCCTTCCACTGTGGGGCCATTCCAAGGAAATGACAATTCCAGAGTGGATCCCGAGGGATCCCAAAGCACCCTCAGCTCAGGAGGGACACTGGGATGAGGGGGGAAAAAAGGGATGTGGGAAAAGGAGAGGAGGGGAAAAGGGATGTAGGAAAAGAAAAGGGGGAAAAAAGGGATATGATGGGAAAAGAAGGAGGAAAAAAGGGATTTGGGAAAGGAGAGGAGGAAAAAAGGGATGTGGAAAAAGCAGAGGAGGGAAAAAGGGATGTGGGAAAAGGAGGGGAGGAAAAAAGGGATACAGGGAAAGGAGAGCAGGAGGGAAGTTCCCAAGGGAAGAGCCGTCCCTGTGGTTCCAAATCCATCCTTTACCTTCCGACCTCCTTCCCCTCGGTCCCCTCTGGAGCCCTGGGAAAAAAAAGTGGGAATCACCACCCGGGGCTCTGTCCCCACCCAGAGCCACACAATTCCCGGGAAAGGGATGGAACTCTGTGGGGAAAACCCAGGGAATCTGAGTTTTGCCGTGGCAACAACCTCGGAGCTGGAATTGGGGCCCCCTGGAGTGGGAATGTCGGGATGGCAATCCCAGAACTCACCTTTAATCCGGCTTCTCCCACCTCTCCAGGCTGGCCCTGCCAGGCAAAATCCAGTCCTTTTTCCAGAAAATTCTTGTCCCTCCCTCCTTCCTTTTCCCTCCTTCCCTTTCCCTCCTTCCCTCCCTCCAAGGGGATTGATCCAACCTTCGGGATTGGGAAGAGGTGCAGGAATAAAAGTTGGGAATGTGGCAATCCCAGTTTCCATTGACACCTCCCCCCCCCCCCTCATCAGGACATTCCATCTGCCTCTGCCTTTTCCAGAGCCTTCCCAGCACAGGGAATCCCGGGAAAAGCCCCATCCCTACCTTCTCTCCTTTGTCTCCCCGCATTCCAGGAGCTCCCATTTCTCCCTGGAAAACAGCAGGAATTCCCTTCATCCACCAACAAGCATTCCCAGGGGAATCCCTCCTTCCTTTCCCTCTCCCAGTTTTATTATCTCCTCCATTTATTAAATATTTCCATTGATCACGTATTTATATGAATTTATATTTGTCATCTATTTCTATTTATCCTATATTTCTATTTATTACGTACTTATATTTTGTCCTAGATTTGTATAAATTTAAGTTTATCCCACATTTCTATTTATTAGATATTTCTATTTCTATTTATCGTGTATTGATATAAATTTACATAAATCATATATTTCTATTTATTAGATATTTCTAATTATCATATATGAAATGATATTTATCCTATATTTATATTTATTACATATTTCTATTTACCATATATTGATATAAATTTCTATTAAGCCCATATTTCTATTTATTATATTTCTACTTATAATAGATTTCTATTTATCAAATATTTATAGGAATTTAAATGCATCATATATTTCTATTTCTATTTACAATATATTTTTATTTACCAGATATTTATATGAATACATATTTATCCCATATTTCTATTTCTAATATATCTCCATTTATATTTCTATTTATCCCATATTTCTATGAATGTATATTTATGATATATTTCTATTTACAGTATATTTTTTTACAATATATTTTTATTTACCAGATATTTATATGAATTTACATTTATCCCATATTTCTATTTATTATATATTTCCATTTATTATAGATTTCTATTTACCACATATTTATATGAATTTATATGTGTCATATATTTATATTTATGATATATTTCTATTTACAATATATTTTTATTTACCATATATTGAAATAAATTTCTATTTATCCCACATTTCTATTTATCATATATTTCTATGTATCATATATTTGTATAAATTTATATTTACCCCATATTTATATCACAGAATTCTATTTATCATATATTGTTATTAACCATATATTCATATGTTTCTATGTATCCCATATTTCTATTTATCTTTCCATTTATCACAGTTATATGAATTTATATGTGTCCTATATTTACATTTATGATATATTTCTATTTACAATATACTTTTATTTACCAGATATTCATATAAATTTATATTTATCCCATATTTCTATTTATTATATATTTCCATTTATTATATAATTCTATTCATCACATATTTATAGAAATTTATAAGTATCCTATATTTATATTTATGATATATTTCTATTCACAATATATTTTTATTTAACATATATTTATATAAATTTCTATTATCCCATATTCCTATTTATTATATATTTCCATTTATTATATAATTCTACTTATCCCATATTTCTATGAATATATATTGATATATTTCTATTTATAATATATTTTTAATTACAATATATTTTTCTTTACCATATATTTATATAAATTTCTAATTATCCCATATTTCTATTTCTCCTCAATTTTTATTTTTCCAATATTTCAGTCAATGTCTCTTTCTCCTCAATTTCCAAGGATGTAAATTGATAATTGACAATAATTGTGTAACCAAAGCACTGACCTTTGGACCCCGGGGTGGGGGAGGGGCGGGGCCACTTCCATCCATCTGCAACGGAAACACCGGGATGGGATGGGAATTATGGGATGGGATATTATGGGATGGGATGGGGTAGGATGGGATGGGATGGGATGGGATGGAACTGGATAAAGATGGGATGGGATATTATGGGATGGGATATTATAGGAT